TCGCAGAATTAGCAGGCATGCCAACACAGATATAGGAGAGCGTAGAACCCGGATCGATCAAGGCATGCATAACCGAATCAAATAGTATGAACGTACCCAAGATAACATCGGGACTAGGATCTGTGCGCCCCTGCATGGCGTAGGTACGCGCTGGTGCCCGGCCTGACTGCTGCGGACGTGGTCTCTGCTGATTATTTGCGGCTGTAGACTGTTGACTCCGTGCTGGATGCGATGTGGCAGGCTGATAACAGGCTCGCTGCTAGGGTTTGTCGGGCAATGCCTCCTGAAATGCCCTGGCTGACCACAACCCAAATATAAGCCTTGGGCGAGCCAACACTCGGCCGGGTGATGCCTACCACACTGTACACACTGCGGGTGGCTCCTCGTTCTGATCGCGTTGCTAGCGGCGGCCAACAGAGACGGCTTCGACTTACTCCTCTTAGGCAGCAGCGCACTCGAAGAACCCTTCTCGTACCTCTTTCCCCCGAATCCAAAACTCTTCCCGCTCGGCCCGGTGCTGGCCGCGGGTCGCGGGTCTTTCGTCGCTCGATCCTCCTTCTTGGTCGCCTGCAAGTCGTCCAAGCTCTTTTCCGTCTTTAGAATCAAATCATACGCCGCATTAAAATCTGTCGTCGTGATCAGCGCGGCGTACGGCCTCAAGTCCACCCGTAGCTTCTTGACGAACTCATTCAAACGATCCTCCGGAGTGGAGACTAGACTCGTCGCATACTGGGACAGGTAGTCGAACTTCTGTCTCAGTTCAGGCAGTGACATCCCCTCCTACTTAAGCGCAACGAACTCATCGCGCCTCTCCTCGCGGTACCGGGTGGGGACGTACTCCTTCGTGAAAGCTCGATCAAAGCGATCCCAGGTCCATGGCTTGGGCATGAGTGGATCCTGGTCAATGCGCTTCCACCAATCATATGCTCCCTTCCGGAACATCTGTGACGCCAACTCCGAGCGATCAGCATCAAGGACTCTCAAATTCTTGAGTACCCGGTCCATCTGCTCAAGCCAATCCAACGCAATCTGGGGCTCCCCCATCTTGTCTCCTCGAAACTCTTCCGCTCCATTATCCTTCAATGTCTTGAAGGTAACGATGCGCGGCTGAGGCTGTGGTGGTGGCGGTGGTTGGAACATGGGCATAAGCTGCGCCATGTGCTGCATATAATGGGCCATCATGGCCGGGAACATCTGCTCGTAGGCCACCTGCGGCATCACCAACGGTGGCATCACTGGAGGTGGTACGACTGGCGGTGGTACAGCAGGTGGCGGTCCCGCTGGCTCAGGTTGATTCTGCTGCTGCCCTCCGTCACCCGGAGGCGTGAAACTCGAACCCTCGGTGTTCCCCGTGTGCACGCTCACGTGCTCCGGCTCCAGAACGTACTGACCATGGGTCGATTCTTGACTCATTCTAAAATAATAAGGAAATTCTCAAGTCAGATCTTAACATATAACAGATAAAGCTATAAATACTTATTACCTTCCCGGGGCAGAGGAGTTACGTGAGATGCAGATGCGGGTGAATTATTCATTGTATTTTATTTTGAAAGGGTCTAAAGACCGATTTTAAAACCAAATGCTCCGATACCAAAATGTAACACCCCAACCCGCATAACCCAAACCCGTCGGACAGCGAACCGGTGTGCCACTGGATTGGTATCCGAATATACAACATTTTCAAAACAATTTTAAACAAACATTCTATCAATACATATAAAAATCCATCGGAGTAATTTAAAATAATGCAGAAGCCTTTTTAAAGTCAAACAACTTGGGATCTTGCCCGAAAACGTAATAAGCATTAAAGTTAATTAAATAAAGCATAACTACAGATTAAAGAGACAGCCACGCCATCGTAAATCTCCTCCTCAATGCCCTATGGGATCGGCTCTAGGTTCATCTGTCTGATCACCTACGGACAACAAAAAGGAAAACAACGCTATCCGCTCAGCATTGACGCTGAGTGGCACTCCATTGTAGCACAAGAATAAACATAATAATTCAATGATTAAGATCGCGCATATGTTTATCCTTTTAATAAAAGTCAATTCAACTTTACATTCGATTCTTTAGACGGTTGACCAACAGTCAACTTAAATTCTTTCTTTTCAAAACGATTTAGGTGTTAAGGGTTTCTCATTAACTCTTTGACCACCGGTCAAACCAATTTAGACTTTCACGAAAGTCAAACCACTTAACATTTATTGCCTATGACGGAGATAGCCTCAATCCGTAATACCGAAGATAGCCTCAATTCGGTGGAGGTAGGATCCCTCGGGCGATGGCCTCAAACCCAAGATCACAGACCCTCGTGCGCACGTCTTAACCTCACTGACCAGGCCCTGCAGCCGCCCGAGCAATGGCCAGTTTCTATGTTTAACATAATAAACCAATTGACCCTAATTACCGATTAGAATTAATTAATTAACTTAACTAATTCATTAAAGTCTTGGATTTAACCATTAGGTTAAACCTACGTCAACGGAATATCCAGTCAATGCCTAAGTCAAACGTGACCTAACCCAAGTCAAAAATCAAACGTGTTCAGTCAATTCACAATCCTCAACAATTCAATTCAAATAATCAATTTAATTCAATTAACCAATTTAGCCAAATTATAGCATAAACATATATAATGATCCGAACCATTAAATCTATTCTAAACGCTATTAACTTCATAGTACGGACCTGGATTACCCAGAAATCAAATCGATAGCTCGAACGGAAGACAAATCAACGAAATCAAACGAACAACGGGTCAAATTGAGTCAAAACACGAAATCGACCAATCAATCTGGCGTGGAGATTAATCTGCCGGCGGTATCAACCCGGGGCAGCGGCTGGATGCGGCGACGGTGGCGGACGCCGGCATACAGTGGCGGAGCGGCAGCTGTTGGCGGTCTATCTTGTTCAAAATCGAGGGGATAGTGACAAACCGGAATGGAAAACTGAAGAAGAAGAAGGAGACTGACCTGAGCTAAGGGCGACGGCGGCTGGAGGCGACTGGCGGCGTTGCAACTCGACGGCGATGAGCGGCGGACTTCCGGCGAAGGAGAAGCAGCGGCTATTGGCGGCGCTGCAACTCGATGGCGAGGACGACCGACGCTGGCAGTGGAGGCGACGAACGGCAAGGGAGGATGACCGGCGATGAACGGCGACTGGCGGCTGCAACTCGACGGCGATCGAAGATGATGAAGAAGAAAGTGATGATGAAGTGCGCGGCTCTCAGATCTAAACGGAAGAAGATAGGTTTAGGTTTTATTTAATGATCCCATTCCTAAAAGGATTGGGCTTCGGACCCAAAATACCTGATTAAATGGTCATAACATGAGCTCCAAAACTCCGATTCGCGAGCCGTCTGAACCGACGCGATCACAAAAATATTTCCTACGAGATGACATAAATGTTGGGCTTAGAATCCAAATTATAATTTTAACCCCTTTTTGGGCCCAATTCGTAATCAATTGCTCTAACAATTTAATTAATTCTTTTGGGCCAGATTTCGGGGCGTTACAAAACCAACAATATCAAAGCCTATTCCCTGAAATATAAATATAAAGAACCAATGGCATCCCAACAAGTATTTAGTAAACAAACAACCTAGTAGAAATCAAAAGGGTTACAATAAAATCACTTCCTCTTGCATTGTTTGTCACTAGCTTGTTGTCCCTTATTCTTAGTATTCCCTTTTTTCTTTCGCTTTTTCTTTCCTTTACCTTTACCCCGATGATTTAAGTCTTCCAGAACGTGATTTTCTTAGACCTGTTTAGCATCAAATAAATCAAGGTCATCTTCTAGTATTCTATCCCCAAACAGTAAGCTTTGTTCCTCTTCCAAAAGACGAGAACTATTACGCTCATGATCTCTAAGTCCCAAACTAAAAATAACATTCTTTGGTGAAGTCTCAGTCATCATCAAATCGTTTTGGAGATCCTCTGCTTTAAGGTTTAGAGCTTTCATATCCTTTAAAGATAGTTTAGATTGTTAGAAAAACGCCCCAACGCTAGAGGGGGGGTGAATAGCATTTGAAACAAAAATGACGCAGGAATAAAAAATTAAGAGCGTAAAGTAAAGAGCAAGGAAGAGGCACACCGTTTTTACCCTGGTTCACCACAACGTGTGGCTAGTCCAGCCTCCCGAGAGACTCTATAGAGCTACACTATCAGCGTTAAGCTTAACGGTGCTTAACAAACCCGTACAACTTGAGAGTTCAAGTCACACGAACCTCAACGAGCCTTCGAAGGAAACAACCCTTCCTTCGAACTACTCAAGAGAACAACTTTCTCTTAACAAGTGTCTAAGAACACTAAATCACTCAAGAACAATACTCTCTTTTAGAGTGGATAATGAGTAACTAAGAACGCTCAAGAACACAACACGAACTTCACAAAAAATGGCTCTCAAAAAGCTATGAATAATGTATGATTGATATGCAATGAAAGAATAAGAGTTGTGAAGTAATGTGATGTGTAAAGCAGACCCAAACACCCCATTTTATAGTAGAAAAATAGGCTCCAACGGGTAGGAGTTGAATGGGGGTGATTGGCAAAATTTGTGGGATTTGATTAAAATTGAGTCTGCTGAAAATCACCCAGACAGCGCTGTCCATGGCTTGGACATCGCTATTCTAGGCTTAGTTTTTGAAAATTAGGAAGCAACAGTCAAGCCAACAGCGATGTCCAAAACCCCTACATCGCTATTGTAACACCCCAATTCGTATAACCCGGAATTATAGGAATTAAGGTGAAACGGGAGAAATAATTTTTAAAACATTCCAAAACATTAAATAAAATTCATGAAACAAAAATTTAAATACCAAAATACCAAATTCGGATCGATCCTTTTACAAAATGTCGGAGATAACGAAAAACTTAATTAATACAAATACAATGATGTGGGTCAAGCCCAAAACTTCAAATGCAATGCTTGTGAAAATCATTCATGTCAACCTGCCATCCTATCGTCTCTTCATCGTCCGGGTGGTTCACATAATCTGTGCTTCAACCTACGTGTAGACAAAAAGACTACACGCTCAGCATAAAGCTAAGTGGTACGATAACGCGAGAGATCGTTAACATATTTATACTTAAATACCACGCATCACATTGGCCACATAATTTTCGTGCTTGCATAGTAGATAGCACAAGATATCAGAAACACATATACATATCATGGAGATTCATTTTGGAATATTATCCAAACATAAATACCTTGGTCTTGTCGTCGACGATGTTGGATATGAAGTACGGTACATTTTTCAATACCACATACAATTTGATAATTGAGATTTTTTATACTTACTTACAAACGATGCAATGCCAAATGATTCATGATGCATGAGTTAGACTGTGTAGGGACCCCCTGCCCTTCGGTGATCATCCCCACGCGGTAGATGAGCCGAGGAACGCCTTAGTCTCCTGATGGAGACTAAAAATGTGGGTGATAGCTAAGCCTAGCTACCATGTACGTACACAAGCCCTCGTGATGAAAACCGGTTGGATCCCGCAGGCTCCTGGACGGGCCCGCGGAAGAGGCGCACTGGGCCTGACCTCTTGTCGCGGTATGCAAAGTATGCCATGATCCTAAACATGCGTCTAGGGTATACATGATGATATGAATGCATTGCTTGAAGAATAAAGTTAAGTTCAACGCATACATGTAGGTTTGATTCCGTATGAAAATGATTTGTTCAACATGATGGCCCTGGGTTCAGAACTGGCTGATAATTGATTATCCATTGTTGATAATCGATTATCACGCATTCAGCTTCTATTCCCAAAGTTCTGTAGACTGTTATAGTCGATTGTCGATTGTCTTGTTGATTTGTCCAAGAAACCCAAGTTCGGAGAGGCCTGACTTATGATCCCGAAGACTTATATTCAAAGCTAAGTCTCGGTTTTTAATCCATATTTCAATTATTGATTCTTACCTTAAAAGCACTTTTATTTCGGATCTTTCTAAAAGTTCAGCAGCCCATGATAATCGATTATCACTTGTTGATAATCAATTATCAAACTTCTGCAGCCTCTGATAATCGATTATCACCAAGTGATAATCGACTATCAAATGTTCCGCAGCCTCTGATAATCGATTGTCACTTTGTGATAATCGACTATCAGAGTTTAGCAGCTCTCTTAGGAAAAAAGAAGCACAAACTGTAACACCCTAATCCGTCCAGGTTTGTAGCCCCTTTCAGAATAAAGTATTAACTTGGTAATCGTAAAAATTTAAAACATTTGAAACACTTTTATTTATCACAATAATATTTTTCATAATATAAACAGTACGGAGTTTTCAATATTACGGAAGCTTAACAAATCATAATCGAAAACACAATTTATTTATGTTCTTTAATTCAAAAGCATCACATCCGTTCTCACAATCTCGCCTCCGTCTGCCTCCAGAATCACTTCACATCATTCTTTCTATTAACCTGCGTGTAGCAAATAAAACATACTACACGCTTAGCATTGAAGCCGAGGAAACATGTAACGCCCCGAAATCTGGCCCAAAAGAATTAATTAAATTGTTAGAGCAATTGATTACGAATTGGGCCCAAAAAGGGGTTAAAATTATAATTTGTATTTTAAGCCCAACTTTTATGTCATCTCGTAGGAAATATTTTTGTGATCGCGTCGGTTCAGACGGCTCGCGAATCGGAGTTATGGAGCTCATGTTATGACTATTTAATCAGGTATTTTGGGTCCGAAGCCCAATCCTTTTTGGAATGGGACCATTAAATAAACCTAAACCACACAAACCTTATCTTCTTCGTTCGTCCTTCTTCTTCTTCTTCTCCCGTTCTTCTTCTTCTTTCTTCTTTCTTCTTCTTCTTCTTCTTCTTCTTCTTCTTCTTCTTCTTCTTCTTCTTCTTCTTTCTTCTTCGTCTTCCCCAGCCATCATCGCCGCCGTGAGCCAGCCGCCGGTCATCCTCCCTGCCGATTGACCTCCGCCTCCAACGCCGCGCCTCGCCACTGGACGTCGCCTCCCCTACCGGC